ATGTGTATTGGAGAGACATCATCAGCAGGAAACAATTTCCTTGTGTGTGTGTCAATAAAGCTGATTCTGACTGATGGATGGACGGACAGACGGACGGACGGACGGACGGACGGATGGATGGATGGATGGATGGATGGATGGATGGATGGATGGATTATGTATTACATGACCAAAATAGGAAAAAGCCTGTCTCAAATTAATTTGTTACAATAAAAACCTTTTGGTCTTTTAAGTGGTTCTTTTTCAAATATCTATGTCAGATATGCAGTTTTATCTGCAGGAAATAGGAGCAAGTGTAACTATATTCTTTATATGTGGCACCAACTCCCTCTACACTATTGTATCACCATGATGTGAATATACTTTGAAGGGGACAATGAATTAATCAAAAGTCATTTTAACTAAATTTGGTTTAATTTTTGCAAAAGTTAAGCTTAAGGAGCAGGCCTAAATGGAAAGGTCAAAGAAAACATCATGCTTTTAATGAAAACACACATTCACTCAACATTAACCTGGCAGATTGAAAGCTGTTGTTAGAAGGTGTTTATCTTTTTCATGATTTGATGCAGGTACTTACTTCCTGGCTAACTGGTGATCGGTGGCGCTATAAAACTGAAAGCAGATTTACAGCAGATTGATCTGACCCGAGCGTTAATGCTGTTTGCACTATTTTCACCTCTAAATAAAAAGCATTTTAGTGTGAAAGAGCATATAGAATAGCCTTTTTCATACTGATATCAAACATTAAAACATGATCTAAATGATTTGTAGCTGAAGCAGGCTCTGACTGCAAACTGCAGTTACTGCAGTACAACAAGAAATCTTTGCAGCTATTTCTGAGTTAGTTTAGGGCTAAATAATAGACAAGGTCCTTAACATATTGTGTGAATTAAAAAAAAATATATAATATATATGCATTCTCATTTTGTAAATGTAATTTTTAATTTTGAAAATTAATAAGATAAACATTAAAACATGATCTAAATGATTTGTAGCTGAAGCAGGCTCTGACTGCAAACTGCAGTTACTGCAGTACAACAAGAAATCTTTGCAGCTATNGCAGTACAACAAGAAATCTTTGCAGCTATTTCTGAGTTAGTTTAGGGCTAAATAATAGACAAGGTCCTTAACATATTGTGTGAATTAAAAAAAAAATATATATATATATGCATTCTCATTTTGTAAATGTAATTTTTAATTTTGAAAATTAATAAGATAAACATGTGAGAGCAAAAATATATAATGTAATGATAACAAATCATTATTTGGACCACTTAAAGTATATGGTAAATGTAATGGTGGACTTACAGTAGTATTGACAGTTCTGGGGAGAGATGTAGACCTYTAGGCCATTCTTGGAAATCCTTCGGGCCAGCTGAAAACAGGACAGGGGTCTTTCCGCCCCCCAGTGCCTTGATTTGGTGGTGGCTCATAATTTGAAAGTACTGCTTTCTTCTCTTTTTCTCTTCCTCTTTCAGTCCTGTCTTGCTCCTTACAGGGTTTTTCTCTCTCTTTTTCCTTCTCTCTACCTTTCTCAAATCCTCTATCTCTTTCCCAGGAGCTCTGTATTTTGTATTCGTTCCCCTTTTCCATCCCAAATCCTRCGTTTCTCTCCCAAGGAATCCTGTTTCCCTTGTCTTTTCCTCTTTCCATGGCTTTCTCCAGTARAGTTTCATTGATATCTTTCCCAAGGGTGCCATTAACTACCAGTTCATCAAGCCGTCTCACTCTGTCAATGTCTGTCTCTAGATAAAACCTCCCAGTACACGACTGTGTTTGGAACTTTTTTGATTGTTTTAGATGGTGCTGTGGGTAACAAAGACTCTCTTCCTTTACTTTTCTCAACATGTCCTCAGGCTCTAAAACCTTGCAGCTGGGTAGCATCTTGCTCCATTGTTGGATGGAGCTTGTAATGTCCTTAGAGTCATACTCCCTGATGGTCTGTAGGTTAGAGCTGGTCGGYCTGTACCATGAGTTTGTGGCTGAAGTAAACTGTGGCGGTGAGTTTGTTGGGGCAGAAAGAAGGGGTTGATGAGATGGGGTTGCCTGGGGGTGGTGGCGGAGGTTCGATGGCTGCTGAGGAGGCTTACCGTTGGACTTTAACACCCTGCCTGTTACCTCATTCAGAAACTGGGAGAACTTGCGCCTGTCCTCTGCTTTCTCTTCTTCATCATGAGCAGAAACTGTAGAAACATTCTTACCCAAGCAGGATGAGGACATGTTCAGGGTCCCTGTGTCTTTCTGTGTCATTACAGTCCTAGGAATACTGTCCTTTTTACAATCAGCTGGGCGTGAGAACACAATGTTCTGGTAAATAATGTCATTCTCTGTTCTGGCAGGAGAAGCAGCCTGAACAGGTGGACAGCTTCTTCCACTTGYGCCACCTGGAGCCTCACTACTGTCTTGTTTAATAGGTGTGCGCAACAGGCAGGTAGCCCCTGAGCCCCAACTATTTGTATCCCAGCTGCCATCATCATCATCGCTAGAGCTGCCGTTGCCGCTCTGAAGGCTGGTACTCCACTCATTTGAGCTGTGGCTGGCGTTCTCCAGACTGCCCAGCGACCGCCGCTTCACCTGAGAYACCGATCCCCTCAGGTTGGGTAGAGAACTTTTGCAGCTAGAAAGAGATCCTTGCAGACTTGGCAAAGAGCCTTGCAGGCATGGAACAGATCCCTGGAGGCTAGAACAAGAACCGTTTGAACTTGGAGTTTTGGAGCCTTGGAGACTGGGAAAAGAGCCTTTAAAGACAGGCGAGGACATGCGGCGCAGAGAACGGACATCCTCGCGGTCACTGTGAGGTCCAGAGAAGATGGGGCAAGATGAGGTTGAAGAGCACGAGCCACGATCTTGCCTAGTCAAAGCTGTTCTGGGTCTTGATTGTCGTCGTAAAGTCGCCATGTCCATCGCCTTTGTTCCCAGACTTTGTAAAAACTTGTGTGATCCTCTCTGTGAAGACCCCAGACTGAGACCATCTTCTGAAACAAACACAGACGATTGAACGATATCAGACTCAGTCCAATGGTTTCCTGTCCTCTGGCTTTGCCCACTTTTAATTGTCTGCCCTACATGTGCTGACCTCCAACAGRGCTCCCAAGCTGCTGCTGCGATGACACACTTTTACCGTTACAACAAAATGCAATCATGAAGGTTATCAACAGCATCTCACAATTTGAACACTATCTCATCTTGTTTATTTTTATTTGTTCAAAACAGCATCATAGATTAGCAGCTGCATCACCAGTGGACACTCTGTGGGCACAGTCTGAAACAAATTTTTGTATTGACATGGATGGTGTAGCAACGCGGCTGGATATTCAGGTCAGGAATATTGACCATGTGAAATCTGCTTTGTTGGCAGCAGGGAAGCAAAGAGGCCAAACATCGATTGTTCACACATGGTATGCTTTTATGTGGCTAGTTGTTGTGTTTGTTRGGTCGTGGAACAATCATTATCATTAACTCCCCCCTCAAGAGAGAACTTATATTAATTTGTTGCTGCTATAATCTACTGTGTAACACAAAACCTTTATGGGAGTGATGTAGCGTTGAGGTAGTGTCTGTTTCTTGTTGATTAAATGTACAGAAGCCTTACAAGCAGATGTTATTTTGACCAGACACCAGGACTTGAAAGCTGTGAGCAACAGCCTGGAATTTCCAAATAAAATAACAAAACAGTTTGGCACTTACTTTTAACTTCAGCTGACGTCCCTGAAAATACAAAGTTCCTAAATTTAACAAGCATACATTTAAATATTTATTGGGAGAAAACATATTTTTCTACATTTATTATTATTAATATTTATCTATTTCTTTATTTYAATTCATAGATGGTAATTTAGGCTAGCAAGAGTCCACCCAAACTTCAACAAACTTATAATTTAGTTGAACATTAAAACTGGAGTCCAATTTTTTTTGACAATCTGTCAAAATTCTTAGATAATTAATGATAAATTTATGCAAATATATTCTTAAGAAGCTGCCATTATGACTAAGACCAAAAGGCTCTTTTTGTAACGTCTTCCCTCTCCAACCCCTTCAAAATGCTTGAATCACCATGACAGCCAGTGACTCAGCAGTTTTATGTTTCTCAGTGGAACAGTCCAGTGGCTGCATCTACAATAAATATGATGTCATTAACCACTGTGAGTTTAAATATGTCCTGCAATTAAAACTTCACGCAYKTTTTTTTTAAAGACTGAGCAGAAACTTTACAACATGCTGGCTTTTCAACAACAAATCTTTGCCATCTTTTAGCTAATCCACTCTCTTTGAAAACAGCTGTTCATCATGTCACATGAGTGATTTTAAGCATGCTGAATACCAAAATATGAAAGGTGCCTGACRGACATAGACAGGATGTTACTGGCACTAATGACCTCATTAAAAGACATAAACAAACTGCTTGTTAAAGTTAAGATTTATCTTCAAAACAAGAAACTACGCTTAGTCGGGATAATTAATAAAACAAACAAATACATGCACACATATACGTATGCAGTATATAAAAATGTAACCGGAAGTTCTGACTGGCTAGTTGAATAAAATTGTTTACCAAAAGGAAGTGGATACATTTTTAATTTTCTTTAAATTGTGTTTATTGTATGGTWATTCTACTAAATGTCTCAGTTTGGGAGTTTTTCATGTGTTTTGTTTGCTTTTGATGTCTGTATAATCATGTTTTGTCAGTTTTATTTGTCAAAGGTTTTCAGTAATTCTGTTTGTTTTATTATGAGTACTTTTGTGTTTTAGTTATTCTGTATTTCTGTTATGTGTTCGGCCTGGCAGCTTAAAGTTTCTGTTTATGTGCTCAGAGTTACACTCAGCTATACTTTGTCTTGCCTTTTGCTGAATTCACTCACTAATCAAACCTTTCCAGCAGATAAAGTTCCCTGTTTTATTATACTTCCTCACATGTAATGACCATGAGTATTGGGTTTGTTTTGGTTTTTATAAATACATTTTTTTTGGTTTCTAATTGTCATCAACTATCATCTGCATGTAGGTGTCCTCAACCAACAACAAAAAGAGTTAATTTCAAAAGACTTTTGTCGATTAGTGGCATCATGAAGAAAAMGCTGCAAGTTGTAAAAACATTTTTTTAAATCTATGAAAACAAAGTTTGATTCATTCTGCTGCACTTGATGCGTTTTGCCTTGAACCACTTATGTGCTCACATTGTAAAAAAACAGTCCGTCTCTTTTCATTAACCTTACAATTTTGAAATGGGTTACAGTTATTGTGGTTTACGTGATCCTGTATTACCTAAACATGCACAATGAGTCCTCATGAAAAACCATCACCCTGCCACTCTCCCATTGATGAAACTTGTTATATTACAAACTTTATAGAAATTAGATTTGCTGAAACAGGTTTTTCTGACGCTGTTTTGCTTCAGCATAAAGTGGAAGAAAATGTAGAGCAGAAACTTCCTCTTAAAACCACCTAATTATGAAATTTTTACCAGGTTTGGGCAGAGATCTCATATTAATACACTAAAGTTGTGAACACCGATGCAAGTAAAACCTCTACATGTTGGTCTTTACAGAGTCATGATTTATAGAGGCAGCTCACATGACAGACTCTAAATCTAGTTTTCTTTCTCTTGTTTATAGTAAAGGAATGCACAAATAAGTAAATCAATAAATTGCATTTGCTTCCTTTCAATTTCTTTTCAAAGCTCAAATTAAATCCAGCGGATAATAATAATGTGATCAGATCCAACCACAGAAGACCGCCCCCCACCAATAATATACATTGGCTTTACTAATAAGTTCTCTGACTAATCATCATATTTGATGTGCTCATCCTCTCCACAGGCACCAGAGCTGAAAAGATCAGAAGTTTTCTTTAATCCCTTCAAGCCCCCGGGTGATAAACTCTTCAGAGATATGCTTTGACATTTTCCTCAAGTTTAGTTGCACATATCGAAAGGCCTCGCTTTCATATTAAGTGGAAATGTAAGCTGCAGTTAAGACGCTTTTGCAATGTTTCCTGTGGAAAACACACCTAAAGCCTTCTCTCTTTCATTTTTCAAATCTGGATGCTCAGTTTTTTTTCCAAAACTGCTTCAGATAAGAAAAAAGTAAAAAAACAAAAAACAAAAATAAAGGCAACAATCAGCAAAATAAGACTCTTTTTTAAATAAATAATTTGATTGCATCCACTTTTATTCAGGACCCTCATGATGGTGCCCCCCCCCCCCTCCGGTTTTATTGATGAGCACTCAAACAAATGGCAGGCCCCCATATCCCTCTGTTGTCAACAGTGAAGTTGCCATAGCAACAGTGGTTTTTGATCTGGATCAGCCTTTCCTGTCCACATCTACGTGCTGGAACGACTCGTATGGCTTTTCCTTCTAAATGCCAAGGCAATAATAATCATTTTAAAAAAATGCACTTATATGTCAGCTGCACCATCTGTCCAAGAGTCTGAACTCTGAGCCCACCCYACCCCTAAAAATAAATAAATAAAATATATTTCACATTTTTATGACAAAAAGTGCCGTGTGATGGTGAACCCAAAAAAATGCATTAAAGGACTGCAAACATTCCATTGACTTCCATTACATTTCTACAGCCTAACCCTGACCACAAACCCTAAGGCTAACCTCACAGGTCACATCTACCTGACCCTAAAACTAACCTAAACTCAATTCATACCTTGGTCCTAAACCTAACCCCCAACCCATCAAAGGCATTTAAACCAAATGTGGACTCGACTTTTGTCCCCAAATGCACCAGTTCTCCCCAAATGTAGGACTTTTGTCTTAGAATTGTCCCCAAATGTCACCAGAAACACCACCCCCCCACCACCACACACACCACAGTATTTTACTTTTTCATCATGGAAATTGTGTTTGTTTATGTATGCAACAGCACCCTCCAGTGGGAGAATGTGGAAAACAGCATTGTTAGTTTATTTTGACCATTTTAAATTCAGCCTTGAACCACTTCCCACTCATAGGAACTAAAGTAAAGGTTCAGTTCTTCAAAAAGGGTCACAGATTTGTATGTGGGCGCTCAGACTTATGAGCAGCTGAACTCAAAAGGACTTTTTGTGTTGTAAAACTACAAATTTTAGGAGGCAGCAGGAAACAGAATAATGTTTTTTATGGCAATTGCAGGGAAGATTTGGCAGATTTTTCAATGTGTGCAACCCACATAACTCAGCTCCCACAAATACATGCTCCTCATAATGTAGCACAGTTTAAAAGGGAATTTAACAGGCTTTCTAATGCTATAGGATTTATTGTCGAAAAGCATTGTTACAATAAAATAATAAACTACTAAACACAAATTTTATTACTTTTTGTAGTAAGTTTAGATGATTGATACATTATGTGAGTGTGTGAATTTTTTAACTTTAAATTTAATTTAATGAGTGAGTCTGATTCCGATGATGACAGAAGTTGGTTCAATTTTTTTTTCAGCAAAACACATTTTGGTTGGCACAACCAAAAGGAAAATTTAAAACATTTCTTTATTATAATTTGAAAGCAAAAACCCTGTTGTATAAGGAGTGACAGATTTTGAATGTTTAGTCAATAGACAGTTTCTTCACTTTCTCCATTTTTCGGCCTTGGGAAAAAAAATTACCAATGAAGTTTTCTTTTTCTGTAAATAGTTTCTCTCACATTCTCATGTGTATAATCCTGCTTCCATGGTGATAGGATATTATTTAGATGTTGACTGTCTGTCTTTATCCTAACACAATTACCACCTGCTGCACATGTGCCGACAAACTTCATCACATTCAGAGGTGCACTTATGGATTCTATTTTCTGTAAGATTCTATATAAAAATACATATTTTTTGTTTGTAAATCAGTAAAACTGCAGGGTTAAACTGCTCTTTTTATCTTTTTGCTTGCACATTCTCTTCTCCCCATCACATCAATTAGTGATTTACTGCATACTTAARAAAATAACATACTGTGCTTTG